AGTGTGTGTGTCAGCCTCTCCTGGGCTGTGTCTAGCTCCAGCTCGAGTTCCAGGCCCTGAAAACCAGGAACCACCCGAGCACCAATGGGGGACACCATGAGTTTGGCTGCACTCTCGGAGGGCACAGGCCCCATAGCACCGGGTGTTGCTGTGTGCGAGAGAGGGTTTGAGGTATTTGGGTGCCTGTGCAGCTTCCTTGGCGTGCTGCTAAGCTGGGGAGGCTGTGTCCCAGGGAAGGCTGCATCCCAGAGGCTCCTCCATCTGTGGGCCAGGGTGACCCTGCAAGTTCTGCTGCAAGGAAGGGGGTGGGATCCACATCCAAAGAGGAGTGGATGGCAGGGCAGGAGGGGGAATCTTCCCCTCTGTCCCATTCAGGTGAGGCCCTACCTGCAGTGCTGCTTCCCACTCTGAACCCCACCAGCAGGCAGCCATGAAGCGAGCCCAGAGGAGGCCACAGAGATGCTCTGAGAGCTGGAGAGGGACTTGGGACAAGGGCTTGGAGGGGCAGGACAAGGGAGAATGGTTTCCCACAGCCAGAGGACAGGGTTAGATGGGATATTGGGAAGGAATTCTTCCTTGGGAGGGTGGGGAGGCCTGGGCACAAGTTGCTCAGAGAAGCTGTTGCTGCCCCATCCCTAGAGGTGTTCGAGGCCAGGTTGGACGGGGCTTGGAGCAGCCTGGTCTAGTGGAAGGTGTCCCTGGTCACGGCAGGAGGTTGTAACTGGATGATCCTTAAGGTCCCTTCCAACGCAAACAATTCCAGGATTCCGCGATCTGGCGGGTGCCTGCCCTCCTTCCCTGGCTCCCCCATCCCGTTCCCGTTCCCCGCAGCCCTGGGCCGGGCCGGTGCTTGAGGCAGTAACCCGAGCCCCTGCCGGGCCGGGGGGGCCGGCCCTGCCCGCGGTGCCGGGCGGCGGCGCCGGCTGTTTGTTGACGCTGAGCGGGGCTGCCTGCCCTCGCCAGGCTCCCCGTGCTGGGCCCCCCACCTTGCTCTGCCCCCTTGTCCCTCATTAACACAAACTCCAGCTCTCCTTTGAGGCCTTTTCACGGAACAAAGCGGCTGCTCAGACCAATTCTGCTCGTTCCCCCAGCTGAGTTCTGATTAACAATAACCCGCAGTGACTGGCCCTGCGCTGCCCTGCGGCCTGAGCCCGCCCAAATCCTGCCGTGATGGGGAACTCCAGGCCCCCCCAGTGCTCTTTGCCTCTGCTGAGGAGATCCCTCCTGACAGCCAAGGCACTGAGCCTGTGCCCAGGCCTGGATAACACGTCCTGAGCTACAGGGAAGTGTTTCCCTGGGAGCCAGGTCTTTAGCACAAGCTAAAGCTGAGCTGGGAAACAGGAGAAGGTCAAAAAAGCCAAAGGATTAGTCTCTGCTGGAACAAACAGGGTTTAGTTTGGTCACATGGGATGGCACAGTTGTTTTCCAACCACAACTTTTTTTTATGAACTTTTTGATGTGAGTTTTTTGAGTGCCCGGAGCCCCTGGAAGTGCTCCAGTGTTCCAGGTTGGAGCAACCTGGTGTAGTGGAAGTGTCCCTGCCCATGGCAGAGGTGTGGAACTGAGTGGGATTTAAGGTTCCTTCCAAACCAAAACAGCCTGAGATTTTGGGATTCTATGAATGCCTTGTCTTTGCGATGTCTGAGACTTAGGAAATGAACCTTGCCATTGCAGGTGAGCTGCAGTGCTCCCGTTGCAGTGGGACGGGTGGGAATGACCCACAGCTCCCCGCAGTGTTTTCTGTGGTGCGGATGCTCTGATGTTCTGCCCGTGCTTTGCCTTCCCCTCCCTTCCCCTGCTCAGTTTGGGCACTGACCCAGCACATCCGTCCAGTCATGGCAGCGGCCTTCTGCCTGAGCTCTGAGGCCGTTGTGCTGTGGGGCTGAGCCATGCCAGGATCCGAGCTGTGCCCAGGTGTGAGCTGTGCCGGGATCCGAGCTGTGCCCAGGTGTGAGCTGTGCCCGGATCTGACCCGTACCCAGATCTGAGCCATGCTGGGATCCGAGCTGTGGCCTGATCTGAGCCGTGCTGGGGTCTGAGCCATGCCAGTATCTGATCCATGCCATCCTGTGCTGGGATCTGATCCGTGCCAGTATCTGATCCATGCCATCCCATGCCCTGATCTGAGCCGTGCCGGGATCTGACCCATGCCAGGATCTGATCCATGCCATCCC